ATGGCTTTCCCAGGGGAGGTCCAGAGGCTTTGCGGGGCGCCTGGAGGGACCTCCTGGCAACTTCCTCTCTTTCTCTCTCACTCCCGCTCTTCTCTGCAGAAAGAAGGCACCTTGAGGGCTTGTGTGTTGCGGTGCTTTTTGCCCCGCCTTCGGCCCCGCACGTGCGGCTACCCGCTCCCATCGTCAGGCGCATGGTGCGGGGCTGCCTCAAACCATATTCCGCCTGCTGTGGCATGCCCTATCCTCCCGGATTTACACGCCGGTCGTTGAAAGTGGGTATTTTTTGAATTCCACATCCCAATCTACTTCAAGCGCCTTCCTACTTGACGAATCGATATGGTTTGGCTGTGTGTTGTTATTATCTGGGAGGGCCTGAATCCAATCTACTTGATCCGCCTTCCGATTTCATGTTTCTACCCATTTCTTGCGACAGGCGTGTAAGAAAGGAGATGGTAAAAGGGCGAGCTTACGGTTAAGTATGTCCTGTCTTCAGATACAGGCATTCCACTGCTATCTACGGCGGCGTCCCTCATCCATGATATAGGTCCCCCACCTGCAGCTCCCCAAGAAGACGGGATCCTGGTATACCGTAATCTCCTCCGGTCACAAGGAGTCGAGGGCGCTGCTTTTCTGGACCTTGGCATCGCTCGGGCGTGTGCATTTCTGTCGGCGAGGACCATTGAGGAGCATTTTAGTGTATCTTGCGCAAAAATCCACGCACAAGCTCGAACATTGCTCGGGGAATGGACGTCCGAACGATGGCGAGGGACGGTTCATGTCCTGGGAGAGTACATAATGAGCCTTCTCGTGTAGCCCTGGTCGTTGCTTCATCTGACTCTGACCAGGAGCACCTCCGTCGTCTGAGCCCGTCGGGTCCCATATGCCTCAGGCCACCTTACGCAGGGGAGCGTTGTGGTCACCACGCTGCTGATCAGCTCATCGCAGGGCCCCGTGAAGTGGTCTCGGGGTACAGTCGGACCGAGGAATCAGATCGAGGTTGGTTCGGAAAGCGTACTTTAATGTTCTTCGAGCTCGTTGGATGTTCTGGTGCATCCTGGGGAGGGCACCCTTTGATGTTCTCTGTGTGTTGGTCGGCGCAGGGTCTCAAGTTCGTGAACGTTGCTGTTCTATCGTTGGTCCGGCTGTATGAATTCGCAAGCTCTTCCTCGGGAGCCTCAGCTTCTTGGCAACAGACCTGATGCTGCCGTTTTGCAAGCGGGAGCGTCGCCTGTTTCGCCCATGCGTCTGCAATGGCCCGCGTCCGCTCACATCAGTGTTGGGATGCTTCAGAGTTTTCATGCGCATTTTGTCTCTGGTAGCATGGAAAAGTCGGTGCTGCTTGCAATGCAGAGCATGTGAACACCTGAACTATGATAATAACCGGACGTCGATTACGCGAGCAATGCGTCTTCCAGGGATTTCCAGCGATGACTATGCTGCCGCATTTGAAGCCTCTGAGTGAGTTTGGCGATGTGGGGAACATTTGCCTCACTCCTCTGCGAAAGGTCAAGGGAGAAAAGCATCGCTGGCCATACTTCAGTCCAGTGTATGCTGGGCCATTCGCTGGCCCACTCCTCTGCAAAAGACATTCCTGGGAGTCCAGTGTATGCTTCAAAGTTGGCAGAGGCAGGTGGCCCCACATCCAACCGCAGTCTTCCTGCCCTGGCCCACGAGATCGGCCCCCAGAAGAGATCGATCCAGAAGCAGGGTCATAGATGCATCGCCATGGGCAGCAATGATGGTGATGCTTTTCGTGTGCCATGTGTGCAGACGTCGCAGTCCGCATCCGAGGTGCAACGGATGCAGGTCGCTTTGTTCCAGAGCCCCTTCGCAGTTTGCCGGCCACAGGCCGCAGAACGGCGAAGGCAAGAACCCCAGGGTTCTCCACGGACCATCGGCGCGACCCAAGTCAGAGCCCCGAATCATCAGGGGTAGCTCTTCTCAGGGCTAACTCGGGTTCGTTTCTCGGGAATCCCAGCCCGAGTTACCCCGGGCCCGAGCTACCCCGGATAACTCGCGCGTCCAGGGCAGGGGTAGCTCTTCTCAGGGCTAACTCGGGTTCGTTCCTCGGGAATCCCAACCCGAGCTGCCCCGGACGACTCGGGCGCCCAACCGAGGGGGTTCTCCAAGAACCCTCCAGAGCGTTGTGCAAGAGGGCGATGTTTCTCCCCAATCCCCGAGTCTCGCCCGAAAAGTTTGGCCGCTCAGAAAAGTGGGAAAACCCCGGGATACACCCCAAGGTGGCTATTCGGACGCACCACTCTCGAGGATGGACACCCCCCCACCCTATCTCCCAGGGTTGGGCCCCAAATTTCTGGCCCGCTCCGAACCCCCACGAAGCCTGGGATATATAGGGGTCGACATGTCCCCTGTTCCTGTGCGCGAGGGCACGAGGACGCCGACGCGGCCCCCGGCCGCCGCCGACCGGCCTCGCAGCCCTCCGCGCCTGGGCCTCTCAGGAGGGACAAAAACACACAGACACCATTCCTCGTCGATTCCCCCGCAGATCTGGGAAGATATGGGAAGTGGGGGGGGGGGGGGGAGACCACAAAAACACAGAACATTTGGGAAATGCTGGGGGAAATCTTCTGGATCTGTGTGTATTTCTATTTGTGTGCCCCCAGGGCCCCCTTCCGCCTCGCTGGCGTTCTCGCCTGCGGCGGGCAGGCGGCGGGCAGGCGGGCGGCCCTGGGGCACGGCTCTCGGCCTCCCCGCGGAGGGCCGGCGTGCGCCTCCCGGGGGGAGCTCCAGGCCCAGGGGTCCTCGCCCGGCGAGGGGAGGGCGCGCCCGGGCGGCGCGCCCGTCCGCCCGGGCTTCCTCGGCGCGCCGTCCGCCCGCGGGAGTTCCCGGGGGGGTCGAGTCGAAGAGAGCGCCGCTTCCCCGCTTCCCCCCCTCTCCAAGGTGCCTTCCCTTTCCCCCTTCCTTCCCCCGTGCCTCCTCCCTCCCCCTCCTCCCTGCTCCCCCGTTGGCTCTCTCGCCTCTCTCTCTCCGCCCACTTCCTCTCGTCTCCCCCTCCTGTTCCCACTCTCCCCCGCCCTACTCTCTTCCCCCATCGAGGGGCGAGGAAGCGAGGGAGAGCGAGGAAATGTTCAAAATCTATAGCTGCAACCAGCGAAGCTGGACGATGATGAGAGGTCAGCCACTCGTCTGGGTCCACACTTAATGTGCACCCATACTTGGGGTAGGCTCCTCTCAAGACTCTTCCGCAGACTCTGCTTCTGTGTGGTCTTTGAATTCGCACTCTTGGCTAGCAGGTTGGACTTCTTGACAGAGCCCGTACCCACCAGAGACGCACAGTGTGTGCAAGCACAGAGCGTCGTGCCGTCAGAGACCGGCAACCCGACCGCAAAATGGCCCAGACGCTCCATCTCCACAAAATCGGACTCCAGTCGGTCCCCCAGGGCAGGTTCCGAAGGGCGGGCGGAGCCGAGACCGAGACGTATTTAAACATCGCTGGCGACTACGCGTGAAAATCTAATCGTGGCGCTTGGAGGCCTCAGCCTCGGCTCGAGGTCTACCAGGCTTGGTCCACTGAACCGCTGACAGCTGCCAACGAGGCCATCTGAACAGGAGATTGGCTGAAAGCTCGCACACTGTTCGTGCAATGATGATCGTATTCTCGAGCGGGTCAACTTGATTTGGCTCCGCCGTGGGGTGGAGTCGGGAGCCAGCCTTGGCCGCCTGGTCGGCCTGCACATCCCCACGGCGAACAGCATCTCGTCGGGCGGCTCCCCTTCCTCCTCCAAAGAGACCCTCACAGGGAAAACGAAGATGAGGGGCCCCGCGGAGGGCCTCTGCTACTGCCTCTGCTCAGCCTGGGGTCTTAGATCCTGCACACATGCATTCACACAGTCAGACTATACATTGCAAACGGGAGAGCGAGGGGAGGAGGAGGAGGAGGAGGAGGAGGAGGAGGAGGAGGAGGAGGAGGAGGAGGAGGAGGAGGAGGAGCGAGGAGCGAGGAGCGAGGAGCGAGGAGGAGGTGGAGGAGGAGGAGGAGGAGGAGGGGGAGGGGGAGGAGGAGGAGGAGGAGGTGGAGGAGGAGAAGGCGGAGGTGGGAACGAGGGGGGAGGACGAGGGAGCTATGGAGCAGGAGGACCCTCCTCGTCCTGCCGCGCCCCCCCCCCCCCCCCCCCCCCCCCCCCCCCGAGGAGGCACCGCGAGCTCGAGGGCGCCGGCCCCCTCGTCCGCCACCGCCGCGACCGCCACCGCCGCTCGAGGGCGCGGCGACAGCGCGCAGGCCCGGCTGGGGCGGGCACGACGCTCGCCAGATCGGCGACTACAACGGATGTGGATGCACGCCAGTCGTTGAAGGTAGGTAGTGTGAGATTCCCAGATCCCAACCTACTTTCAGGCGCCTTCCTACCTCAGGAGTCGAGCGGCTTTCCCTCTTCCCTCCTCCTCGGGAGGCGGGCGGGAGGCCAATCTACTTCCGACGCCTTCCTAATGCATGGTTCTACCTGCTTCGTCCGACCGACAGGATGTGGCTTGCGATCTCCTTCCGTGGGGCTTGTAGGTGTCGCCACGCGGCGCCAAAGGCTCGACGAGAGCCCTCCCCCGGGGCGCGGCGGAGATCCGTCGATGCCCTCTCCCGCCCACCCTGGAGCGGGTTCCGAGCCCGATCCTCTGCAGACCACCCGCTTTTCGGAGTCGCCGGCCAGACCTCCCGGCAGAGGTGGGGCGCTCAGAACGCATAGGGGGAGAAGGCACCGATGCCGCTCATCTCGGGAGGTCTTTCGTTTGAGACCCCCCCCCCTTTCTCTCGGCGGGGATCAAGCTCGCCCCTCCTCCTCCTCCTCCTCCTCTCCTCCTCCTCCTCCTCCTCCTCTCCCTCCTCCCTCCTCCCTCCTCCCTCCTCCCTACTCCCTCCTCCCTCCTCCTCCTTCTCCTCCTCCTCCTTCTCCTCCTCCTCCTTCTCCTTCTCCTCTGCGTAGTCGTCTCGGGATCGTAGTCGTAATCGTAGTCGTTCTCGTCGTCGTCGCCTCTCCTCCTCTCCTCCCTCTCCTCCTCCTCCTCCTCCTCCTCCTCCTCTGCGTAGTCGTCTCGGGATCGTAGTCGTAATCGTAGTCGGTCTCGTCGTCGTCGCCGCCGCCGTCGTCGTCGTTGTCGTCGTGGTTGTGCGGCTGTGCCGCGGAGAGACGATCAGTTACCACTGTTGGTGGGGCCCTGGTCCGTGGATTGGGTCGCCGAACAAAAAACAGTTTCCATCGATTGGGGGGTTCGAAAGACCTACTGAAGTTACTTTGGTCACCGCGATTTGCTATTCTGGTGCATCATTTGCTACAGCGCGCGCGTGACACACTTGTGTCGCCGAGCCGTTGGTCACGTTGGCTTTAATGGGTCAGGTCAGCTTTGGCGCAGTGTCGACAGGGCCTGGGTCAAGTTAACTTCGGGACTTGCCACGTTTAGGGGGGGGGCGTGAGTAAGGTGATAGGAAGTGGATGCTCAGGTGGGCCCTGCTAATCCTAACCTATCTCACAAGTGGGTCGCAAGTGTCCTCAGTGGCTTAGGGGGGTATAGATCCAGGCTGAATTCGTTCCGATGGCTTAGCAGAAGTATCTCACCACCCTGCACCATGTGAGGCACTGTATTCTTAGGCAGGCCAGGTATAGCCCACGGATCCGCGCTGGGTCCCCCCCCCTGCGGCGTCTCCAGCGCCGCCCCTAGCGCGCGGAGCGCGCAAGGGAGGGGGCTCCAGCACGGATCCGAGAAATCCGCACGGAGCGTCAAAAGTTTGTGTTTCTGCAATTTGCTCTCCTACTGGATAGATATTGACGCCCCCAGACCTCCCCAGACCTCCAGCCAAAGAAGGGGTTCAGGACGGGCGGATCGCTGGGAAGCAAAATCGGATCCCGAGGCTCTTTTCTTTGATTTTTATAGCTCTTTGGCCCTCCTCCACGGGCCCTACTGAAGGGGCTTGACGTAAGTTGGGCGTTGACAGGCGGAGCACGACTCGTGGCTTGACGTAAGTTGGGCGTGTCTTTCTACAAGAGGAGTCTTCAAACATATTGGAACAAAAATAGTCTGGGGACGATTGTCCTACTCTCCTTGACATTTCTGAATATTTGTTTGGCTTTCATCGCTTTTCCTTCCAAGTCCGCTTCTAGGAGGGCATGCCCGACCTGAGGCTGTTTCTTGCGGGACGCTGTGCCCGGCCTGGGCGGCCGGTTTGCCCTCCACGACGCCGGCGGGCCTGGAGAACCCTGGAGCATGTCCTCCGTTCTCAAGCCCCCTCGGGCGATGAAAGGGCGCTGCTGGGGGGAGGGGCAGGGGACGGGGGCTGGTCTCGCTGCGACGTAGACTTGCGCAGTCTCGGAATCTCAATTATCCCTTCAAGTCCGAGATGACACGGGAGCGAGTCGTGCTGTGACTGCGGGCTCTATCCGGCATGGCCGGCAACGAGCTGCAGAGGCACCCTGTGAAAGTCAAGGTCGACGCAGGATTCGCCTTCAGGTTCCGTTGGAGCGAGATGTTGCACCGCATGCGTATACAGCCGCGACGTCAGATAGGGAACCACCCTTCCAGCAGGTTCCCCACGGAAATGTTTAATCTCCCGATGGCCCTGGAGGCCCGCACAAGTCGTGGTGCACCCTACAGTCGGCCCAGATTAGTAGGTCGACCCTGCCACATCAAGGGTAGCCTTGTGTCCTGTGTCTCGCGACCCATGCTTCCTACATTCCTGTGGCAATGTGGCCCTCGGAAGGGTCTTGTGTCCTCTCGCGCGTACGGCATCTCGAAAGCAGGCTCGAGGCTCGACCACACGTGTGCCCCCGAAGTCTTCGAAACAGAAGCTCTTACCTTACGTGCCTAGTGCGAGGGAGGTGGAGCCCCTCCGGCAGGCCACCGCCTCGAGCAGCATGCCGCTGGACTGGGTCGAGGCCCCCCCCCGCGCCTGCCCCCGGCACGTTCGCAGCGGGACGAACGTGCTATTCGTGAATCACGAGTAGCATCATCATCATTGGTCATCATCACGATGATGATCGTGATGATGCTGATGATGATGATTGTGCTGATGAGGATGAGGATGAGGATGGGGTTGGGGTTGGGGATGATGATGATGATGCTGATGATGATGATGATGATGCTGATGATGATGATGATGATGATGATGATGATGATGATGATGATGATGATGATGATGCAGATGAAGATGATGATGAGGAATAGAGGGAGGAGGATGAGGAGGAGGAGGAGCGGGGTGAGGATGAGGATGAGGATAAGGAGGAGGAGGAGGAGGAGGAGGAGGAGGAGGAGGAGGAGGAGGAGGGGGAGGGGGAGGAGGAAGATGAGGAGGAGGAGGAGGAGGAGGAGGAGGAGGAGGAGGGGGACTGGTGCAAGTCCAAGACCCATCAACGATGCTGGAATTCACCCTCCCTCGAAGGACCCATTTCAGAGGCCGCTACAATAGGGTTCCTTCCCACTGAGGAAAGTGCCCAGTTGGAGGGACAACCGAGTGAAAATCCGGAAGCGCGCCCCAACACCATTTTCAGGATGTCAACG